AAGATCCTAAGCTCGGACCATTTCCGGGTGGAGAGCCTGGCCGAGTTTGTAGGTTCCGGGAGTTAGGGTCTTTTCAAAAGGAGCTGTAGTAGGAGTAGTAGTAGGAGCAGTAGTAGAAGTAGAAGTAGAAGAAGTAGAAGTAGTAGTAGAAGCAGTAGTAGTAGTAGTAGTAGTAGTAGTAGTAGTGGTAGTGGTAGTCGTAGTAGTAGTAGTAGTAGTAGTAGTAGTAGTAGTAGTAGTAGTAGTAGTAGTAGTAGTAGTCTGTGCCTGCCTCTAAAACCAACGAAACCTCGAACCGGGAAGCCGATGTCGGATTCAAGCACCTTGCTGTTGCCCGTCTTTGGGGATCTCCTAGAGACTCTGACATGTGTTATATTACCCTAATGATTAGTAAGACTTGTAATAACTACCAACTATAATGAGAATGATTTAAGGCTTAATTGCGGATCTGCAGCTGTCTGTCTTGCCCTGCCTGCATGGACCTCACGCAGAGGTCGCGGCAAAAAGCCGCTCAAAGCGTTGCCAGGCCTGTGGTCGGCAGTCAGAAGCGAGGGCTTTGGGCTTGACTGTGGTTAGTCCGTCGATCTTACTGCAGCTGGCACGTGGAGCTTGTGAAGAAACTCCGTTGAGATGAAACCCAGACCTAGAAAGATCATCAGTTGTTGTGTTGTGGATGCATATACACACATACACTAAGATAAACGCACCCGAAGCCTCGTACACAACGCCTATGGAACAAGTGGCAGCTAGGGATCAAATCTGAACGAAGGGTCTTGGGCTTTCCTTACGAACGCTTCCCGGATGTCTCAACGGGCGTGTGAGCGGACGGAACTCACGCACCCTCGGATACAGCAATGCGGAAGATGCCGTGTGGCAGGCATCAAACGAAGCTCACATGCAAGCAAGCACGTCGTAGTATGTTTGCGCTTATGTATGTATGTATGTGCGCAGGCAAATATGTGTGCCTGTAGGAATGCATGTATGTCGCATGTATGTATTTACCTATGTATGCATGCATGTACAAATGTACGCATGTACTGTGTATGTGTTCTGCATGCGTGCATTCTCCATGTATACATGCATCAAGCATGTATGTCTGTGTATATGCGTATGTGTCATACACATATGTTTGTGCACTTGCGTACGTCCTAGATGTCGGAGGTGACCTAACAAGTTATTGTTTCATGATAGAACCGCGTACCAAAAGAAGCGCTAAATCGAGACCGCATAGCACATGACTAGTGTAATTGAGCACTGCAGAAGAGTATAAATAAACAATCCAACAGAGAGAGAAAAATCTAATTGTATGCACATGTGAATACATATATATATATATATATATATATGTTATTATGCATACACACATACATGAATGTGCATATCTGTATGCATCTGTGTGTATATATATATATATATATGTATGTATATGTATGTATATGTATATATATATATATATGTATGTATCAAAAAAACACAATCATGCGCCTTGGACTTGTTTTTCCCACCCGGCCGGGCGGTCCAGGCCTCTCACGAGCCCAACACTTGCGTGTGCAGAGCATCGGGCAGCTCGTTGAGGGTTTAGGGTTTAGTGTAAGATGCCACGGTTTAGGGTTTAGGTCGGAACGAGATGCATGAAAATGACCAGGACCCTCCTTGTACCCTCAAATAGGCGTATATGGTCCCAAATGGCGGGTGCTTCGGGTCTAATAGAGGGTAGATGGAGGGTCTAGGCAAGGAAACCCCAAAAGCCCTGAAAGGCATACCATAGCGACACTTTTTCCTTCCAGAGCTGCCTTTAGGCCAGTATTCTTGCCTAGCATCTGAAAGGAGCATCGTGACGATCCTAAGCGGCCCTTGAGCAACAAACTCCAAACACCAGTGCAACGTTGGTAATACAGGGGCCTTAATTATAATTAGAATCGGGTTTGTCATATAGAACACTATAATTATAATGAGGACCCGCCCCCCCCAAAAAAAATGGTATAGGCAATTATTCAGGCCCCTATAGTATAGTGGCAGGGTCAACGTTCGTCACCGGCACCAACAGCATTGTCCTCGTCCTGATAAGACCAAAGCGTCATGCACTGAAGACATAATCATCTGCGCTGCTAGAACTTAACTGAACATGCCATCCTCTCGATCAACAGCTTCATCACTCACACTGTACGATAGAATATCCTGAAGTAAGAATAACCCAAGACACAACAAAGCATAGTACAGTCCAGTATAGTATATTTTAGTATGGCATAGTATAAGCAACTTGTGCTGGGATCTCGGACGCTCACATCCGCGGGCTTGGGTGCCTGAGCAGCCGATGGAGACGCTTCAACCGACACACTTCCATCTCGTGTGCAGGTCCTGCAGAACGCTCTTACAGTACAATTTGCAGTAGTATGTCGTGGTATGTTACATTGAACTAATCTACACTGTATGACTAGCCACTACGCTGCAATATGTACTTAGTATGTTTATGTATCATGATATGTTGTACAAGATCATGCACTATGCTCCACTACACTAGACTATACTGTATTGCACTATCTTGAACCGTACTACAGTGTTATGTGACATTTATATATACATACATAAATACATTGATAGATCTGTTGCGTTAGATTGTACCACATCACTATATCCTACTGCGGTATATTGTTCCACACGTGGTGTTGTATTACGCCATACTGTGACAATATCATATTATTTTACGTTATGTCTTCGAAGGGGCCCCCACCCTGTAATAGTGGTATAATAGGAATATAATAGGGCCCTCATATAATCCTTCTAGTCACTATTACAGGGTGGGGGCAGCTTCTACTGAGTTACTGTACATAGGGTCGAGTCGGGTCGAGACTCGGCCGGAAAGATGATCTCGGGCCGGAAGTTGCAGCATCTAGGTTATCAAAGGGGAAAAGGAGGGACCCCCCTACCCCAAACTGCCTAAACCCTAAACCCCAAACCGCGGCCCTAGCAAGACTTTTAAAGGAGGACCGTTAGGACCGGCAGGTGGTCTTTAGGACACTAAGCTGATATCTGTCAAGGCAACTCAAAGGTCGGAAACAGATCCAAAATTAAATGATGAAGGGAAATGGACACCACTCAAAAACCCAGACTACACCAAACAGTTCAAACACTTCATCCGTGGCCTGCGGTAGCTTCTTGGGTACCGAAACTGATCGGCTCGCGGCCTTTGGGGGGGGGGGTTGGTCTTGCACACCCAGCGATTCCGGTTTAGATAAAGGGCTTCACACGGTTGTTGAGTTTAGTGTTTTGAATTTTGGGGGATCTTTGGCTTTTTGGCGTGTAGGGTCTTAGGGTTTGGGGCTTGCTTCGCCGTTCTAGAATTCGTGTTGCTGCAGAGTCGCCAAAGCCTCCCTACCAATTAGTCGCAACTGCCAGGACGTCCCACATTGCTACGTAGTGCTACGTCTGCCCGAACACACTCGAAGCACATAGCCAAGGCATAGACTGACAGATGCTGACTCGCTTGCACACAGAAGGCATGCAGGAGCCAAGGCTAAATTCAGGGACTTGCCTGAAGGAATCCATGCAACCTGAAGCTCCAGGATCCGGAAACCCCTCTGCAAGAAGTCGTTAACCCAAACCCCTCCCCCTAAGCCTAAGGTTCCCCAAGATCCGAGGATCTATGCCCTGGGCACCCCGAGCCCTCCAAGGCCCTACCCCCAAACTCTACCTGGTCCAGCCCAACTAGCCACTGGTATACCCTCATAAAAGGTTCCATTGCGGGGCCCTTGGGTTTAGGGTTTAGGGCTACGCCCTGAAAAATGGGAGTTTGAGCGACTTTTTCGGGTGCCTTGGACGGCAGCTGCACGACAGGGCCAGGCACCTTTGGCCTGGTAAGAAAACGCCGAAGAGCATGGAAGGATGAATTATGCTTCATACGATTGAAATCAGCAGTAGCAGCAGTCGTCGTCGCAGCGGTAGTAGTAGTAGTAGTAGTAGTAGTAGTAGTAGTAGTAGTAGTAGTAGTAGTACTAGTAATAGTAGTAGTAGTAGTAGTAGTAGTAGTAGTAGTAGTAGTAGTAGTAGTAGTAGTAGCAGGGGTAGTAGTAGTAGTAGTAGTAGTAGTAGTAGCAGTAGCAGTAGCAGTAGCAGTAGCAGTAGCAGTAGTAGTAGTAGTAGTAGTAGTAGTAGTAGTAGTAGTAGTAGTAGTAGTGGTAGTAGTGGTAGTAGTAGGAGTCGTAGTAGCAGTAGTAGTAGCAGTAGCAGAAGCAGTAGCAGTAGTAGTAGTAGTCGTCGTCGTCGTAGTAGTAGTAGTAGGAGTACTAGTAGGAGTAGGAGTAGGAGTAGGAGTAGGAGTAGTAGTAGTAGTAGTAGTAGTAGTAGTAGTAGTAGTAGTAGTAGTAGTAGTACTATTTTACATGGAATTTACAGTACCTGCGTCATGCTGTCCACGCTAATCAATACCGTTGCTGCTTCCGGTGTGGGGTGCGGGGGTGTGGGTGGGGCATGATGATGTCGCTTTTAAGGGCACATGCATGTAAATTACACTGTATTTGCAGCAGTTTCGTGATGTCGTAGTCCAACACCAGCGATGATGATAATGGATGTTTAGGTGCCAGGTGGTTGTTAGTGGTAGTAGTAGTAGTAGTAGTAGTAGTAGTAGTAGTAGTAGTAGTAGTAGTAGTAGTAGTAGTAGTAGTAGTACTAGCAGCAGTAGTAGTAGTAGTAGCAGCAGCAGCAGCAGCAGTAGTAGTAGCAGTAGTAGTGGTAGTAGTGGTACTAGTAGAAGTAGTAGTGGTAGTAGTGGTAGTAGTAGTAGTAGTAGTAGTAGTAGTAGTAGTAGTAGTAGTAGTGGCAGTAGCAGTAGTAGCCGTAGCGGTAGCAGTGTTGTTGCTACAGCAGCTGCCTAGTCAGCACTAACTATTTCAACATTGTCATGGTCAGCGCCGCTATACTGCTGTGAAAAAGTATCGATTACAGTTGTCCAACAAGCTAATCAAAGCCACGGGCGTGTCTCCTTCCGCGACTGAGACCGGGGCGCAAAGGCTGTACTCCTCTTTGATGGGTTGAACCAGCGCTGGTAGCCTGTTTCCGTGTACACGCCCGGACAGAACGCTTGCAGGTTTGTGGCACACAGCAGGATGCACAACTGGGAGGACTTGCAACAAAAGAGCTTCCCCATGCTTGCGGCTTTCCCCTTTCCGATAGACTCTTGCCGAAGTAGACGGACAATTGCAGGAAGCTTCAGCTTTGGCACGAGTTTATCTGATGTACGACGGTCCGACAGGCCCCTGCGGAGACAGGAAGGAGTTCGACATGCAAGACGTGAATCTTGGGCATTCGCTCTAGCTTTCCTTGCGAGTTCATCCAGCGCTCGAAATAAGGTCGAGTCTCACCTAAAGGGCTGGTATTGGCCTGTAGGAATACTTAGGTGAAGCAACTGAGTGGATCCCGCTAGACTCGCGAGACTGTGCAGCAGTGGATGCTTTAATTCTCGTCACAAGTAGATCAGAAACTTCGCAAGGATCGAGAAGCTCGCTCCCACAGAAGCTGCAAACAAAGTAACAAAGTATCAAAAGAAAGAGGCCTGCTGAATCCCTCCCACCCACGCAGATTGAAATCCATAAGTTCCCTAAACTCAGCACCCAAGCCCTAAACCCTCTCACTCTCGCCTTTGGCATGGGAGCCCCTGGTGTCAAGCTGAGGAATGTAATATAGGGACCTTAATAATTAGAGTAGGGTTTTGGGGCCCATTATTCTGTAATTATAGTAAGAAACCACCAAAACACTATGGGTAAATATTAAGGCCTCTAGATTAATGACAGGGTTCTCGGGTCTCGGGTAGTTCAGCGGGCGGGCTGGGGCTCGAGGGGATCCTCAAAGCTTGGGCTCTGTGGGGCCTCTACGCGGGTTTACACGGATTGTGGGTTTAGGGCTCTAGGGTTTTAGGGTTCAGGAGTTTCGGGTCCTAGGGAAAGTCGTTTAGGGTGTATGGGTTTAGGGCTCTTAGGTATCTCTTTGGCAGGGCGTTGAGAGTTTAGGGCCCAAGGAAGCTGACAAACCTCAGGGACCGCTGCTTCCTGGCTTTCTCCAAACCAGACTATGCCTTCACAAACCCTTAGCCTCTAAGGACTCATATTTTAAGGCTTTTGGGCCCAAAGACCATACTATATAAGGCTTTTGGGCTATTTTGAGCCTTAGGAAAAGGCTCTCGGCCGTAGGGCGTTCGCACTGAAGGAGGTCTTTATCGATCACTCTTGAAAGTTGTTTTAGGACCTTTACCGTCGGCTGGATGTACGGCAGAGTCTCAGATAATTCCAAGATCCTGTCTTTTTGGTATCTGGTATCACATTTGCGCTATGCCCCCGGGCAGACCAACCAACCCCTCAAATGCAGGATTCTCAAACTGAGACTCCCCTCACCCTGAAGTCGGAGTGTGGCGTTTCGGGGCGTCTGGAGTCCAAGAACCCGGGACCCCCAAAGTGCTGAGTCGTCCGGCACAAACCCGCGAGCTCTCAGTCCCACGGAGGCAAGGAGACACAAACCGAAACGCGCAGAGAGAGAGAGAGAGAGCGAGAGAGAGAGAGCATAAACCAAAACGCACAAAGCTGAGGGGTCAGGGCGTATAGGGGGTTTAGGGTTTAGGGTTTATTGCCACAGACACCCTGAAGTCCCTTCAGTTCCTTCGGAACTCTGCCTGGGCCCTGCCGAGCGCAAGTCGAACATGAACTCCGCCGGGGGCTCGCGGAAGCCCTTCTTGAAGTCCTCTCATAATGATGAGAATAAGCAGCCGTAGTAAGGATAGCAACAGTAATAACAGCTGTAATACTTGTAATCGAAATAGCAGTAATACAAACCATGATAATAGTTCAGATCATCAAAGCAGCACCAAATATGATGCAGGGCTGCTGCACCCCCCCTCCCCCCCCACCCCATGGTATCCCCTCCCCCCCTGCCGGTCAAGCGGGTAGTCGTCTTGTTTGGCCTTGTTGCTTTCCCCGTTCCGGGGTGGTCTTGTTTGGCCTACCCCCCTGTGGAGTGGGGCCTGTGGTCTTTTTGGTTGGCCCCGCCCCGCCTGTGGGGAGCAGTGTTCTACAGAGGCATGGTATGGTTGCTGCCGCTTGTTAGCAGTAACGTCATCGTTACGTGCTCGCCACCATACAAAACATGATGCTGCTCTTTTCTCATTCTTGCAAACGGTGCCCCTGTCCCTGCTCTGATGTGGCTCTCCGCTCTGTGACGAAGCACTGGCTGGGATCATTCTCCATCGTCCTCCCTCCTCTGGTTTGCGTGGGTTCGTTCGTGCGGGACCGCTTGGATCCCAGGGGCCGGGACGGGGGGGAGGCGGGGGTGGGGGGCCCGGGACCCTAGAGCATATATAACACAACCTATGCTCTGCATGTACATACATAAACATATGTATACAGATAAACATATATACATACATATACACATACACATACACATACACATACACATACACATACACATACACATACACATACACATACACATACATACATACATACATACATATTAATATATACAGATATATTATATATATATATACATATATATATATATATAGATAGAGAGAGATATATACACATACATAGATATTCTCTATTGGCTGCGATAGCAACTCGGACCATCAAAGCAACACCATATATAACGCAACCTGTGCTCTGCATGTATATACACAACGGTATGTATACGTATAACCATATATGTTATATAGATGTATGTATACATACATAAATAACAGTAGCAACGTGTTCATGATACATGGTGACCACGAATTCTGTCACTGTCATCATGTTCGATTCTAATGTTCTCGAAGCTCCTTTGCTCCATCATCCTGTTATCTTCTCAGCATGCTCTAGTGCAATTATCAGCGGGCACCTGCACGTGGACTTCTTCAGCTGAAACCCTAAACCCTAAACCCCTAAACCCCTAAACCCTAAACCCTAAACCCTAAACCCTAAACCCCTAAACCCTAAACCCTAAACCCCTATCAGGGTCCGTGCTTCATCGCAGATTCCCATCTTCTTGGGCCTTTGACCCTCTCAGCGACCCGGCTCAAAGCAATAGCTCTAGCACTGGCTGCCCAAGTTACCTGTCCCAGCGGATTCCTGTGCCTGGGCCTTTTGAGCCTCCTAGAAAAAAGGCGGCTGAAAAAGCCGGAGAAAACTATCATGGCACCGGCATTTCGCTTAAGACCCGGGTTAGAACATGAAGTGGATGTCGGAGGCACCCCTGTAAGGTTTTTGTGCTTGTCGCCTCCTTTCCTCTCGCGGGAATCCCGAGGTCCGAAAGACAGATTTGGCTGAAGATTTAGGGTTTAGGGCAGCCCCGTGCGGGCTTAGAGTTTAGGGTGCCCGCAATGTCGTCAGAAAGTCAGCCGGCACTCTGTGTTGCCACATTGAAGGGCGAGCGCACAGTGAAGCAAGAACCGCAAGCAGGGCTGTCACTGGCTGGTTGAAGAGTTATGATCAACCGCCGCTGTGGAACTTCTTTTGTTCCAATAGTTGGGGTTCTCCCACCATCACACTTCTGCCACTGTCACTGTCACCCCCGCCCCCCCCCCGGCCCCCCACTGCACAACCACTACGAGGATTTCTTCAGAAAACCCTCTGCTGACGGCAGGCAACTGGTCTGGAGGCTTTGGCATTTGGAACCGTCCTGGTCGAGCAGGATGTATGTGTCCCTTCCAGTCCCGTCCTTGGTTCGGCCGGCGAAAAGCCCAGACAACCCAGAAGACAGAGTTTGTAGAACATGACCATGAAACCCTAAACCTTAAAAGACCCTAAACCCTAAACCCCAAAACCCTAAACCTTAAAACAAACAAACAGGTCGCACAAAGAGCCCGTCAAAGCCTGAGGGCAAGGGCCTGGAAGGCAGTGGAAGGTGCCGTGCCAAGCACGCAACAGCAACTTACGACACGCCTGTGACAACCCCTGGAAAGCCGGAAACCAGTCTCTGCAATGATGAAGATGATTGTCGCTGCGGCTATAGAAATTCACGACATGCGGATACTTGGGCGATGAGGATGGCTCCGATGGTGGTGACGATGATGCTGATCATGATGCAATGATGGTTAATGATGATGATGATGATGACGATGATGATAGTAGGGGATGGATGGATGGATGGATGGTGATGGCGATGATGACGATAGTGCTGATGATGGTAACAGAATGCGATGGATGATGATGAGGATGATGATGATCATGATGATCATGATGGGTAGACACATATACAGATACATGTAAACATATACATATATACATACATACGTACATACATACATTACATACATGATTCTTGGTCATAAAGTACTGATGTGGCCTGTGACTCATCTTAAGACGACGATGGTCGCGCACAAAAGGATATGTGCTCCTCTAATAGTGTGCTCTTGTCAGGGTGTCAGTCGAAACGTAAGGCCGAATCGCAACAGCATGCACACCCACGATCACCACAACAACACAACAGCAGCAACGACATGAACATCATTGACCCTAACAGCCCGACATCCAGCCGAGGCACAGAGACAAACACCGGTGTGATGCGCGTAACCATCCTGATCTTGCTGGTTGCAGCCTCGAGCTCAGTCGCAGCAATTCTCGAAACGCATCGCGCTGTGTCAGCAAGTCTGGCGAAATGACGGTGATTGCTCGTAGCTACCACTGGCTCCTCTTCCAAAGTCAACAGAAGATGGGATAGGAATCCCGGACCTGAACCCTAAACCCCAGACTCTAAAACCCCTAAACCCTAAACCCAAACCCGGTTTAGGGTTTAGGGCTTAGGGCCCGGATAGGGGCGCCTTCTGAGCCTCGCAAAACCCGCAAAAACCCTAGCAGCCAGAGCTATGTCTCTGCCAGGAAACCGCTTTTCACATATGGGGGCTTCCGAACATTAGGAGTACCTATTAAAGAGTTACCATAAGGGTGCTAAAAGGGTTCCTTTAAAGGGCTCTATAAGGGTTTAGAGTTTCCGAAAATTAGGGGTACCTTATTTTGGGGTCCTTATTATAAGGATCCCACTATTTAGGGTACTATATCAGGGTCCCCTGTTTTCGGAAACTCCCATATGATTCGAACGGCAAGAAGACCGAAGCCCCCAATTAGCCTGAGGGCTGTGCAACGGCGCGAAATCTAACCAGTGACCATACTGCTGGAGACAATTCCTACGGTGGGAAAAGCTGCGGGCGGCACGGCGATGTCACAAGATTTCATTGGCACATTCATAACTTTCAGAACTAAACCGCCATGATGTCGAAGTGATCAACCGTAGCACCAACAAATACTGTCCGACTTCGTGGTTATTCTGAAGCAGCAATTCTGCGTTCATTGTTGTTGCTGTTGTTTGCATTGTTGCTGCAGCACCAGTGTCGGTGTGGACCAGCGCGGCCCGATCTCCTGCATCGAAACGCCCCGAAGCCTTTGTCTTCACGGTCGTCTGAATAGGTATATGATATGTATATGTATATATATATATATATATATGTATATGTATATCTACATATATATATATATATGTATATATCTACACATATATACATACATATATGCTTGCCTATTGCTTGACTGGTAATTAGTCTTGGTTGTTGGAGTTCCAATTGCTGTTGTCGAAGTGGTTGTTTTCCACTTTATCGCCGATACATGTCATCCATGCATTGTCGTTGCGGTCGTTGCGGCCGTGGTCGCCGTCATCGTGGTTGTCATCGCACTCGTTGCTGACACTGTGGTAGATGCTGCTTCGATTGTGGGGTTGTTGTGTTCCTCGTTGCCAGTGTCTTCGGGGAGGTGGTGGTGGTGGTGGTGGTGGCGGTGGCGGTGGCGGTGGCGGTGGCGGTGGCGGCGGCGGTGGTGGTGGTGGTGGTGGTGGTGCTAGTTGCTGTTGCCGTTGCTGGTGCTGGTCGTGGCACTGGTACTGGTGCTGATAAGATTCAGTACGAAATATGCAAGATCAAGCCGCGAAAGGGAGTTAGATGTGAAGACACAAGCAAGCTCAAGCCACGCAGATGAGCAGCAGCTTCAATGCCAGAAGCTTCCCATATCGAATGCTTGATGTCTTGGGGGTCAGACTTGGAAATACGTACGGACGCCGTCACTCCAGCTGAGAGCACACTGCGACACCGGTGAGCGTGCGGCAAGTAGAAGTAAACTGGCCATGGAAGCCTGTTTACAGAAACGACTTCTCATAATGTGCAAATGCTTTGACGATCGCTTCCAACCACTGCAGCTACTGAACGCAACTTGACGGGACTCAACACACTCTAACCACCGGACGGGGCGACTCGCTGCTTCGGTGAAACCTTCAACCTGCACCGGTTGTGCGAGCTGTGTGAGACTTGATGACGCCGACGCCCACTGCCGACGATTTGCTTCAGCAGGGTCACCAAGTGAGCTGGGAGTCGGTCCTTCAGAAACACTCTCAGCTGATGTTCGGGCAGGTGGCACGCTACTTCATGTGCTCTCTTGTGCTGGAACAAACAGGGAAGCTTGTCTGCTCCAGCTTCTGAATCCCCGCCACACCTCAGTGTTCCGACATCATCATCGTGACCTTACTTCCAAATCACACAGTCGGTACACTTATTCGGTTCGCGAGACATTGCATCGCAATCTGAGCCCCAGCATATTCATCGTACCTGAAGAAGCCATCGACGCACTCCTGAGTGAGAAAAGCTGCAAGCAGGCGAGGAGGAGTGAGAGGATGTGAGAATGGTAGCATAACAATAATAGTAATGATGACACCAGTAGTATTATTAATAACAAAACTAAGAATAATGATACAAGGTAAGAAAGATAACAACAATGATGCTAATGTGCATGTATTCTTCAGCTATGTATAATATACATATATATATACACACATACATATATATATATATATACATATATATACATCTATATATACATCTATATATACATCTATATATATATATATATACATAACTGTATGCGTAAATATTGTATGTGATAAAATACTTAGCCGGAGCTTTCCAAGAGCTTTGGAACATCCGCCGGGCCGCGATCTGCGCCACGAGGTTCTTGGCCTCCTCCGCCGTCAGCTTCTCCCGCCCGTAGACCTGAGGCGTTTAGGGTTTAGGGTTTTTATCGTTTAGGGTTTAGGGGTTTAGGGTTTAGGGTTTAGTTTTGAGGGCCCCTTTCCTCCCGGCTACAGTGGGAATACCTGCGGCGAAGCTTACAGATTAGGATTTGGTTTCTTTTCAGGATTTAGGATTCCGGGTTTCTGGTTTAGTTTGCAGGGCAAAGCTTGAGGCCGTTTTTAGGGCATCTTGGGTTGAGGGCTCAGATGTAGCACAGTGGACAGGAGAGGCAGAGTGAGCGAGAGCGACAAAGAAATATCTTCTCAGGCTTGAAAGTCTACGGCATTTGCCTGCCGTCTTTGACGCTCACAGCGAGATCTGGGTGCAGTACTCCGCACTCACACGATGGCGACGATCAGGACCATGATGATGAATAAGATGATGATCATGGTGATGGTGGAAGAAACGCAACATGCGAAGAGTCTGGAGCCCAAGCTATGTAATGTAGGGGCCTTACTGATTAGAATAGGGTTTCGGGGTCCATTATCTTATAGTCATAATAAGGAACCACGGAAAACAGTATTGGTAATTCTCTCGGCCCCTATAGTACCACAACAGCATCTTAAGGTAGAATGAAGGAAGGATTCGTCCCAGGGACATCAAGGGCCCTGCCATCGAACTCATCTAACACCTTTGACGGATATGATATCTCTCGCCGGGTACACATGGATGCCCCTCTTAACCCTAAACCCTAGACCCTAACCCTTAAAACCGTAGGTCTTGTCTTAAACTTACGCTACGACCTAGGAAACTGCCGAAAGCCCCTCGAAGCTCGCGATTCGTCGGGGCCTGCAGGGCGTGCTCCAGGTCTTTGACACGGATGCAGCCGTCCGGGGCACTTCCAGCAAACACCTCGGTATGTATAGGTCATATTATGTGTGTGTGTATATATATATATATTGAACTATACATATATAGATACATACATACATACATACATACATTACGTACATATACACATACACACATATGGGCAGAGACACTTTTCAGCCAAGGGGCTTTGAAGGCCTTCCGGACCTCATCCGCCGTGTAGTCAGTGTTGACCTGGCGATTCCGAAAGCTCTTCCGTGAGTCGCAGCACAGAGATCTTAGATCTAGGGGCGGTTTTGGGGCATATTATGCTATAGTTGTAATAAGGAGCTCCCAAAACAGTATCTATAGTAACTGTAATTCAAATTTGTCTGCGCCGTTTCTGCTTCGGGCTACCACGGACCGTCACTGTGGTGACTCTGGGCATCTGCAGATGCATCTTGCCCAGAGCTACTCCGGTGAACCCAGACTGTTCGTTGAAATTGAACTTTGTTTTTGCGGGAACATATTGCCGCTTGCAAAAAAAGGCGAGGATTCCGGGAGTCTTGTGACTCGAGCCGAGGCCCGCGCCTTTCTGCACATCACCTGCACGAACTCCTTGCATGCGACGCAGCAGTGGCGTCGAGGGGAGCCGAGTCAATCCTATTGGGCACATCAAGGGCTCTACTCAGAGGGTTGACAGACCTGCTAATCCTCAACTCGCCAGTCACAGGACATATTATCCAGTCTTGCTACTGATCGTTCAGTCCTTAAGGCCTAAACCCTTATAAACTCTAAATGAACCCTTAAACCTTAAACCCTAAACCCTTGAACCCTAAACCCTTAAACCCTAAACCCTCAAACACCTAAACCCGGGGAAAGTCCGTCAAACACCAAAACAACGGTTCGGCTCCCACTCTGCCACGGCTCCTCAAAGTCGATCTCGCCGTTCCCATTCCTCGGATGGATGCTTCCACCTAACTGTGCTTAATATAGGGGCCTCAACATCAATGATGCTATAGGGGTCATTCAAAGTAAAGGGGTCTACAAGGATTACTATAAGGGTTAAGAATAGGAGCCTGAATAATTTTTGGGCCAGTACATGATAAGTATAATAAGGAACCCCCAAAATAGTAACTGTTAGTAATTATAGAGGCCCCTGTGTTGTTAAGGTCTGGGGCTCAGTCTTTGGGATCAGCCCAGGAATGCTGCACGATTTAGGTACTTCACGTTGCGCAAAAGGAAGGTGCATGTGGACTATGCCACAAGATCAGTCAGCGGGTCCGGTACTTAGACATGTCGTTCGATGAATTCGCTGTAGATGTGTAGTCACAAACTAACTTTCACACAATTCGCATGTATTTCTCTAGACCTAATTGTTTCAGGAAACATAGTTGCATCATTCTCAAGACCTTCCGCCGACGCATCCTCCTTGCATGCTGACATAAAACAGCCCCTGTCTGTAAGACATCATTGTGAAAACCCTTATAATGACTCTCTACAGCAACCCTCCTGAGAACTCTTCATAATAACACTGTATACCCAAAACCCTAAAACCCTGAAACCCCAAAACCCTAAAACACGAAACCCTAAAACCAAAAAACCCTAAAACCACTGTTTGCAGGCCGAAGCTCTCATCGATCTCTGAGACCATGAGCTTCAATTCCTCCGGGCTGGT